AGGCTGGAGACTGCCCAGAGGATTCCACCTGGAGCTCCGCCCACAGCAGTGACGCGTTGCTCCGCCGCTCAGTGACGCCGACGTCCAGCGCCGCCGACATCAGTGGTGGATCCGCCCACAGCACTTCAGAACCTCTTCTGAGTCCTTGGTGGCCAGTGGAGGGGCGCAGTAGAGGGTCCTCCCAATGACCCCAACAGCAGGATGTGGTGGCCTGGCGGTGCCTGCAGAGACTGTACAGGCACCGCCAGGCTAAACACTCATTGCAGTGACAGAGCCACCTGTCCCATCCCCGCATTGGTTCTGCTGGCCTAAGGTCTGCGGGGCATTGGTGCTGCTGGCCTAAGGTCTGCGGGGCATTGGTGCTGCTGGCCTGAGGTCTGCAGGGCATTGGTGCTGTGGCCTGAGGTCTGCAGGGCATTGGTGCTGTGGCCTGAGGTCTGCAGGGCACAGAAATACTTACCTGTGTCTCTGCCGCTCGCTCCCATCTGAAGCTTCTCGAGTGGCTGTGCAGGATGATGGGATGGGCGCATGCTCAGTAGAGATCTTTGGCGGGGAGCAGAGGAGAGACTCAGTGGAGATGAATGCACACAGCTGGGAGCGTGCACGTCGGACAGACAACGTGGGACTCAAGGAGTCTGCGCTGGATCAGAGACAGGCACCAGCGCTAGAGGGATTGCTGAATACAAGTTGAAGGAAGAAGATGATCGGATCAAGAGGCATCATTTAGGCCCCGTTCACACCTGAGCGTTTTAACGCGCGTTCCTACGCTCGGTAAAACGCGCAACAGGTGAAAACCCATGTTTGCCTATGGGCATGGTTCTCACCTGCGCGTTTTACCGCCCGTTCGATCGCGGGATAAAACGCCATACGCCCAAAGAAGTACATGAGCTTCTTTGGGGCGTATTGACGCCCGTATCCCGCTGTTATCAACCGGATACCCCCTCGGAAACTCGCGTTTGACGCGCGTTTCTTTTACCGCAAATCGCGGTAAAACCGCGCTGTAAGAAACGCGCGGCAAACGCGAGTTTCCAATACGCTAAGGTGTGAACCCAGCCTAAAGGGGGCATTTGCGACTTTCATTTAACTTTTAAATCAATAAGTATATTTATCTAACAGTTGCCTATTACCTTAATGGAGTTTTATCTTAATTTCCCAGGGCTGCAGATGCTCTTTACAGAGTTGCTTTTTACACCATGATGCAATCATCAGCCTCAATTAAGTTATGTTATGGCTTGTCATGTACCTCTGCTGGGGATTAATTACTGGTCTCGCACTACCAGGCATCTGCTGTGAACATATTGCTGGCTGTACCTGGGAACATTGCACACTTAGTAACACCAATTGTTTTGATTCTATTTGCAAGCTGTACCTTATGGTAAACACTGTAAGAGAATGCCATGGATTAAATGCCATGGTTTAAATATCAATACATTTTCAGTACAAATATTTATTGATCTCTGTTTTTTTGTGGTTTTAGGGGTTACTTTGGGAGTTTACCTAGAAAGGGATACCATTATATCATATAGGTATCTATTCTTTATTAATGTTACATTTTTAGGTAAAGTACAGATCACGCAACTGAGCAAAATGACTAGAGTCATAATTAACAGTGACCTAATGAGTTTCATACAGAGTAGGACAAACAAGATTAATATCAGTTCACTTTTCATCACTTCCCCTAATACTTGCAAAGACCTAATTTGGTAAAGTGATCATAAGTAATGTAAGCATTCACTAAATTTGTTTTTTGCCCTTTATAAAATGTAATACCATTATACATTCAGACAGCCACTTCAGGGCTGTAGCTACCATGAGGCGAGTGAGGCACTGCCTCTGGCGCAGCTGAGAGGGGGCACAGCCAGGGCCGGCCTGGCTACGCCCCCTCGCCCTTGTTGCCATGGCGAGCAGAGGGCGGCCAATACAACTGCGGCTCGGCAGGGAGAAGAGGAGTGGCACAGGCTCCAGCTTCTCCTCAGATCCCTGCTGCTCCGCCCCACCTGTATGGGCAGAGGACTCTGTGTCTTCAATCTCTTTTTCTATTTCAAAAGGAAAATGACAGACCCCTGATATTTTCCCGAAGCCCCCCCAACAGTGAAAAAAAAAATAAGAATAAAAAGCAAAACAAAAAGGGGAGCTCGAAGTCATGCTGCTCGAAGAGGACTTCGATATGGTGGGAATAACAGAAACTTGGCTAGACAGCGCACACGACTGGGCTATCAATATAGAAGGGTACAACCTGTTCAGGAAGGACAGGGTTGGGAGGAGGGGG